GTTAATAAACTGAGATTTTAAAAGATATTTGAAACTCCTCAAAGTCACTGAATAAATAACCAAATATATCACATCAGAATATCTGATGCACAAATATGTATGTAGTATGTGAAGCTACTATCAACTTTGTCAAGTATTTCAATTATACTCTGTATTTTGTCGAAGTATATTGTCAAGATACTTCAACTTTGTGACTCTTGCATCGATACACATATATAACTGAAAAGGGAAAATCTGGACTTCGGATTTCCCCACGAAGCTTCAGCAGGTTCATTGGTAAGATTACATATGAACTGGAAGATAGTATCTCATCCAGTATCTATTAAGGACCACTAGTTTTAGGGGACCAGATTCAAAACTGTATTTGAGTTCCTAATTCTCAGGCATTCGATTTTCATGGACTGGTGTTCCAGTTAAAAGGCCAAAATTTTCATTTTGAGCTAAGAGCCAAAACAGCTTGTAAGGTTTTTCACATGCTTTGTTGTTGCCTGGTTTCATAGCCTGTTTATATTTCCTGTATTTTTGCATCCACGAGTTATCTCTTGTCTGATATTTACACTGTAAGCTTTTTATAAGGCACTCAGAACAACAGGGCCCTGCTGTCTGAAAGAAATCCTCTATTCCCAGAAGAGTCATAAATAGTAATAACTAAGAATACAACTGTGATTTTGTGCACAAGCATGCCTGCAGGAGCCATTCAAGTAACTCCCAAACCGACTATCAAGGGGGTTGGTTTTCCATTGCCTTGAGACATTTGTCCCTGAGCAGGGAGCATCTATTGTCATTGTGAAGCTTTACCAGACCTAGACAATAGCATTTCACACTCTGTGGATGGCAATGAAAGATCCAAGACAATGGGAAATCACGACCTTCACTCTGCAATTGTCTGTAGTCCTCGAGAGGACACCAACTAGTTGGAAGGGAGACTATTTCACTTGAACAAAATAAAACAAAGGAAGAACCTTTTCCAAAAATTGGTCTGAACACTTCCTTGGCAAAAGCTATTGGCTTATTTTTAGGTTTGTTTTCCCCTCTTTTTGAGACAGGAACTATTCTTCTTATCTTCTGCACCCAGGTTACTGTTTCCAGAAATGGGATCCACTCTCCCTACTCGTACCTAGAGGTTGTTTGATACTATGATTAGCACCTGAGTGCAAGAAGGCAGGTTTAAATATCTACTACAGTCATGCTCATATTTTTCTAGCAAAATTTAACAGGACAATGGTCTCTTCAGAGACAACAGCTGTCACTCTCAGTATCAGTACCTGCATAAAGACGAGGTTCTGTCTCCCATACTGCTGATCAGATCTGCTGGGGGTTCGGTCTCTGGCAATGGAAATTCTTCCCACAGTTTCAATTTCCACAGTTGGAAGTGCATGCCAAAACTTTTAAGAAGCTCACATGTTTTGGGATGCAGGTTGCTGCACTAGGATGCAAACTTATTCACCATACTTGCCAGAACAGAATTGCCAGTGTGTGAGTGTATGTGCATTTTTTGCTTTGCCTCAAAACCAGTTGAGGCAGGAATATCAGGCCCTGATGCTTTTTGGGGTGGAAAGAAAGAATTTAGTGTTCCAGGTGGAAAACATGGCTGACTGGTCTAGTATGGCAGTAGAAAGGAACTGAGGTTCAGGAAAAAACCCATCTGTACACAAGGACTTAATCTAAGCAGGAATTAGGAAGAAAAGCCCTGTCATCATAATAGTGACTGCCCTCAAGTGCTAATTCCAAGAGCCATTCTTTGTCCTGGTTAAAGGTCAGGAGCAACTGTAAAGTTTATCATTCTATTACCCTCAACCATCCTCTTTTTTCTCTTTCCTGGTACAGATGTTGGTGTTACTGGTGGAAGTGCAAGCAAGGAGAATGTAGCAGCTGTAACTCGTGTAACAGCACAGCCTTTGTCGCTGACAACACTTGAGCCATGGAACCTTTTGGTGACTCAAACACCAGCCAAGGAGAAAGCCAAAGAGGGTGAAACTGTGGTCTTAAATTGCCATTTTAACAGTCCACGACATCCCTCCCTGAGTGACCTGATGGTGAAGTGGTACAAAGAAGATGAAAAGGGGCAGATGAACCTGCTAGAAAACAATGTAACCATCTTGCCAAATAACTCCAGGGTCTTCATGACTGGAGACTTGTCCCAAGGGGATGCCTCCCTGGTTATCCTCAATGTGACAACCAGTGACCATGGTATTTATTTCTGTGAGGTTACACTTCCGGATGGGAAGGTGGCGACAGGAGATGGCACAAAGCTCAGGATTAAGAGGGCTCTGGGTAACATTTGATGTTATTGTCTTCTTTTCTCCTTGCCTTTTCTCCAAAGCTCGTTTACATGCTTGCAGTAAGGGAATTTGGCCTGTTTGTCCTCTAGCTGTAAGGGCCTGGTGTCATGGAGTGTAATTGCTCTACAGCATTTCTCATTATTTTTGTAAGGTAAGCTAATTTGGATTGGCTTGTCTCTATAAACAGTCACACAGGTGTTATATAAGGAGGAGCATATACAACCAAAAAAAGAAGGAATAATTTTATCCATAAAAATTAAGTCAGTGCCAAGAATGAAACAGTCAGGTGAGTTCCCTTGTAATTACAGCTCTGGCAGAACCCCCATGAGTGACAGGTGTCAAGATACCATCTCAGGAAACAGCTCCGGAGCTCTTTTTTTGACATTATTTTTCTCCAATCCACTAACTTGCATAGTCATTCCTTAACTCTGGATGACAAAAGTAATCCCATAATAAACATGAGGATCATACTGTATAATTTCTGATTAACTTTATTCACATTAAAATCAAAATAGCATTAAAAGTGCCATGCTATGTCTTCTTAGTCTCTCAGATAGACACTAGGCATATTAAGTAAAGAGAGGGCTCGCTTTACCTTTATCAGCTGGAAATGTCAAACCATTTTCTATAGGCTAAACACATTGCAGTCCCAAAAAGTCAACACATCAGAAGGGTTATTATCTTATTATCTAATTACTAAAAAAAAAAAAAAAAAAAAAAAAAAAAAAAAAAAAAAAAAAAAAAAAAAAAAAAAAAAAAAGCACCTTCTGTGTCAAGAGTAAATTATGCAAGTGCCATTTCTCCCTTACTAATTACCAAAGCTTCTAGCTCACCAAGATTCACTAAGCCTTTGCCCTTTTGAGCCTGATTTACTAATTTGTATGAAACTATCAGTTTAAACTGTAACATTAACAAGGCAAGAAAACTGTGCCCTCCTGCAAGGGCTTGGTTGTGTGTCTAATGGGTTCTTCTCTTGGTTTGATCTCATAGTCTCAGTAGCACAGGTTACCCTTGCAATGTCTACACCCTAAGCAGTATAATTGTTTTTGTGTGTTCCTGAGACTATGAAATATATAATTTCAGCACTATGCCATCTCTGCCATGTAACAGTCCCAAAGAGCAACCAATTGAAGAAAGGATTTCAGAAGAGCTCTGTCCGCTCTGTCCTTTGGAGGCAGACAAGGAGACCGATGATTTTTTTCAAAATTGTCAGAGCAATGTTTTTTCCTTTTGAAAATAAAGCATATGGTGTAAGTCCCATTAATTCAAGGAGCAGCATCTTTTGCCATCCCATAGCACCTAGCTGTTAAGGGAAGTTCCTAGGGCAGTGGGGCTGTCCCGTCTGTACAGCTCCAGAAAGCGTAGCAGCTTGCTACACTGGAAAAATATCAATACCTCTGTAGTGCAATACACTCTCTCCCGTGTAGAAGCCCATGATTTCATGTCAGACAAGACATCAGCATAATCGATATCATAGTAAGCGGCTTCCTCTTCAGCCACAGCAGAAAACATGCTGGCCACATTGTATATACCTGTCTGGACCACACTTAGTTACTCTCTCTACCTTCCCTTCTCCCCTAGGCTTGTTTGGTATAGAAGAATCCATTGGAACAATCATTGGGGTTGTGGCAGCTGGTATTGGAGGCATAGTGGTTCTGATCATTGTTTTAACCCCCCAGATGAGGAAGTGCATCCTCTGCATGAGACAAGAGTCTCGCCAAAGGTACCTTTTTTAACTTACTTTTAAAGGAATTAACCATTTACTTACCTCTGGTCAGACATGGGATCTGGATCAGGAAATAAGCAGTGTGCATAACATGCTAATGGAGCTTGTTCTATATTCCATCTCTTTTTCAAGTAGTTCTTTGTTTATGCTGTGTAGACCTTGATGCATGGGCGCAAAAGAGCTACTTATAAACAAAACAATAGGATCTTCTTTAATTGCCACTTTCGTCAAAGAGTTGTTCAATGAGATGCTGCTGCTTCTTTCAACAAAGTCCTAGAATTCATTCATTCTTTTAGGTTTATGGTGAAGGAGGGTTCTTCCTTCTACCCACTTAATGCTTATATCTGTGTTTTTGTAACGCTTGTGAAAAGAAGGCCTGTGATGGCTTAAGTGAGTGAGGTGTGGTTTGTAAAACCCAATTATCTCTTTTATTACATCAGCTGATCAGGTTGGGAAAACTAGATGTTTTCATCACACATGAGCCAAAGAAATGACCCAATAAGAGGCTGATGTGCCTGAAAGCTCACCTGTGTTTTTTTTTCTGGTTCTGTCAACTAGTCTAATTTGAGGAGGCTGACAGAGAAGGCTGGATTTTGAAGCAAGCCTAGTTCCCATTTTGTGCAACCCAAGGTATGGTCTGCGTTTCAGACCGAGCTCGGCTGACTTTTTTGCTTTCAGTGAGGAGATGCGTGATTTGTACCTCTTCTCCTGGCACTCGAAAGTCTTGCTCGGCCTGCTGAAAAAAAATCCCCTCCCGCAAAGGCTGAAGGAAGAGCTGCTCCTGCCATTCACTGGAGCGCTGCCGCCACCTGATGGACAGCGTGGCAGGGACAGGGACGCGCCAGGAGCTCTGCCTCCCTCACCGGGGAGGGTCTTCCACCCCTTGCAAGGAAGCATACTTGCTACCTTAGACTAATGCTACCCACACAGCGTCAGCCCTCTGCAAACCCTCTGCATGAAGAGTTCACAACTTCTTTACTTGCCAGAAAGTCTTGGAGGAGTTTATTGTATTGTACTGACTCTGCATCGTTCACTCACTCTCTCTCCTTTCCTTCTTCTCAGCATTGCTTGAGGTGCAACATTACAGGAGCTGCTGGAAGATGCAACGCCTGCAGGTGGAACAACTCCTGATGCCCTGTAAGCCAAAAAATGGACCTCTAGACAGAATAAAACCTTTGCCTCTACCTGTTTTCTTTGGCATTTTTGTTAGCCTGTTTCTTTTCCTGCAGCTTTGACAGTCACAGTGGCATATTCACCATCCTCCTGCGGCAAGGAGCAAAGCAGCCTTTTGTGAAGAAATCTGTATTCTCATCTGCCAAAACACCACTTAGTTTGGCCACATATGTCTGCATTTAAACCCTGATGAGGTACTTAGGGTCTTTCTGAGCCGTTATTTCTTATTTTAAAGGTGGTATTCGAAGTTTGTCAGCTGTGCTTCAGCAGAGACAGAAGGAGCCCGACCTACCCAGCTGCTTTCACCTACCAAAGAAATTAAAAGTGTTGCTTCTGGGGTGTAGCCATGGCTCCCATCTGCCCATGCCTCCCGGTAGAGAGGCTCTTGTCCTGTTGCCTTGCTTCAGCCTACAGACTTGTAACTAAGGCAGAAAGAAGGCCCACTTCTACATAGCTACCCCTTGGCTGAAAGAATGGAATTTTGTTTCACTCTTGCCAGAAGGAAACTTAGTTTTCAATATAAGCCTCTAATACCCTTAAAACAAACAAACAAACAACAAACAAACAAAACAAAAAAACACAAAACAAAAAAAAACAACCAACCAACCAAACAAACAAAAAAACCAACGTTCATGACATGACTGATGTTCTCCACAGTCCCCCTTTCCCGACATGGCAATACTTGATTCCCAGGCAGTCAGTGGCAGGGGGATGTACCAGTATAGGAGACCATCTTCTATATGTATCAGAGAGCAGCATATCAGCTCTGAAGCATGTGTAAGAGGTGAGGAGTATATCCTTTTGCAAAGTATGGCTGCACCTACTAGTAAGGAGAAGTCAGAAACACTGGCCCTTGCAACACAGCTGAGAAGTGTCCCTAGCGCAATGAGGCAGGAGCATGAGGGATAAGACAGCTGGGCTCTGAACAACCTGTTCTGACTAAAGGTGTCCCTGCTCGTTGCAGGGAGATTGAAACTACACGATCTTTAAAGGCTCCTTTCAACTCAAACTATCCTATGATTCTGTGATTAAAAAAAAAAAAAAAAAGAAGCCATTTGGTGACAGGTAATGTGTTCCCACTGCACTGCACACCAAACCCTCTGTTTTTGCAAAGGACATGATCAGATCAGGATTTTGTCCTTAATTCAGCATATATTTTATCCTGACACAGAATCACAGAATGGGTCAGGTTGGAAGGGACCACAGTGAGTCATCTGGTCCAACCTCCCTGCTCAAGCAGGGTCATCCCATAGCACATTGCACAGGGTTTTGTCCAATTGGTTCTTGAATATCTCTGGTGAGGGAGACTCCACAACCTCTCTGGGCAACCTATTCCAGTGTGGGGTCACCTGCACAGTAAAGAAGTTCTTCCTTATGTTTGGGTGGAAATTCCTGTGCATCAGTTTCTGCCCGTTGCCTCTTGTCCAATTGCTTGGCACCAACAAGAAGAGCCTGGCTCCATCTTCCAGACACCCTCCCTCCAGATACTAATAGACATTGATGAGATCCCCTCTCAGTTATACCTTCTCGACACTAAACAGGCCCATCTCTTTCAGCCTGTCCTCATAAGAGAGATGTTCCAGTCTCCTACTTATTTTTGTCACCTGTTGCTTCTCCAGCAGATCTCAGGGTAGTAAAGTCCCCCACCAGAACCAGGGTCTGTGACTGTGAGGTTGCTTCAAGCTTCCTGTAGAAGGTGCCTCATCCACTTCCTCCTCCTGACCAGGAGGCCTGTAGCAAACACCCACAGCAATGTCACCCTTACTAGTCTGTCCCTTTATCCCAACCCACAAGCTCTCAATTAGCTCGTTGTCCACCCAAAGAGAGAGCTCAATACATTCCAAGTGTTGCCTCACATAGAGGGCAACTCCACCACTGTGCCTGTCTGGTCTGTCTCTCCTCCCCATAAACCCTGGCATGATAAAAATTCTCTCACACCATTGTTAGCTCTGGAAAAGGAAGAAAAATTTTATTCCAGCACCTTTATATTCAAAGGGTTAGAAGAAAGGTTCCAAAAAGACTATTCTGGCCCCCCATATCTGACATGGCAGGTGGGATGAGTCTGTCCACATAAAAAATCTGGCCAGAGGGCGAAGTGTGGGTTATATGGGGCTGCTCCCCAACACTTGGCTGCTTCTTGGTCACACAGGCACACCATTTTTTCACACTGGTCTGTCAGGTTATCTGCAAAAGAAAATGTGAGCCGACGATGAGAGATTCTGTTTCAGATGAAGGCAAGAAACAGTGTTAGGAAGAACAGTTCCCTGAAAAAGCAACTCTTAGGGATCAGAGGCTATGGCAGCAGGCCCAAAATTTCATGTTGTGAGTGGTCTGACCCTCCCCTGTCCTCTTTCTGTCAAAAGGTCTGATGTTAACTGTGACCAAGAGCATCAGAAAGTAGCAGCTAACTGTAAATTGGCAGTGGTCATAAAAATTTGCCCAGTACAGAGCACTCCCTGCTTCTAGAGCTCTGTGATCACTGGGGGCTTAAATCAGCAGTCAAAGCTAAAAAAGAAAAATATTTTATCTTAGCCTGAACTAAAAATATTCCACCTTTCCTCAGTCAGTGAATTTCCCTTCTAATTCTTCCTTCTGCAAAACAGACCGATTTTTGAAAGAAAAAAAATGCTGTTTTGAAAGGAGGAGCCTCCCAGAGGCAGAAACCTGAGGGCATAGAAGCACCCACTGGGCATTCTTCACTCATGTTCCATCAGCTGTTGTTACATCTCTCTCTGATCATGGCAGAGGAGCCAAGGAACTCTGCAGCAGGGCCAGGTACCTGAATTTTATGAGCCAGCAGCTAACAAAGCTGATCAAAGCCATGCATGGAACTATAGAGAATGCAACAATATGACCACATGACTAAGCAAGGACCGTAAGGAATATCAAAGCCACTAGCTTAGATGGCTACATTGAAAATGATTGATTTTGAGTTAATGAACCCCATACCACCTCTACGTGTCTTAAATGCAGCCATTGGGCTAATATTATTTCAAAGCAAAGTGCCTTGTTTCTTTGAGGCTGCTACCATGGATTATCTAACACCCACAAAACCCTCCAGTATGCAAAGTTTAATATACAACTTCATGCAAAGTTTCTCTCCAAAACCAACTGCAACAATTATAGGATTTTTTTCAGCTTACACTGGACTTTGGTGGATCAATCATGTATCTGATAAATAAATAAAGCCTGTGTTTCCTAAGCTGGTCTGAATAATCACACATTTATTGGTAAAAAGTGTTTCAAGGATCCCATGAATTAGGTTTTTAGCACTAAGGCCACTTTTTTCTTAGCTACCAATCTTGCCTGATATTCTCCTTGCCCCTCTGCTCCTTGAGTTCTTCCTGTGCTGTGCCAGCCACTGTCTATCTAATGTGAGTACAAAAGCCTGGCTTTACAGCATTTCTGTTAGAGCAGAATGATTTTTTTTGATCGGCCTCCACAACTTACAGCCTTTTCTATATTTCAGGTATTTATTGAATGGAATTTGCCTACCCATTCTGGTATATAAGGACTGAGGAATATGGTTTTGCTAATTAGTTTCATGTCACAAAAAACCCCACTGAACAGTAGAAAAATGAGGAGAAATCCCAGGTAAAATGAGTTTCTATTTAATTTACATTAAAATATCGGTGTTTATATTACAATGTCAGGCAAAAGGCATTTAATTCCTTTTACACTGAAATGACAGTGCAAACAGTTCTGCTTCTAAAGCTTCTGGATGTCTTTACCCTGGGCCCAGCAAGCATGCCTGGAAATTTAATTCTTCATCCCTTTTGTCTGAATGGAATGACATTATACCTTTACCCCCAGTAACACCTGCTGTGCTGTAGCTTGGGGTAGGAAATGTGCCTTCAGAACACATTTCTATTGTTCCTCCCCACAGGGTATGTCAGAGGAAGTGAAACCTGCTGAGGGCTTATGGAGAACAGTTGATGGATGCATCTCAGGTCTTGCCTGGACATCAGTTAGGGAATGAACAACATTTGTTTAACTAATGCTTGTTAGCCAAGTCAGAGCAACTGCAGCTCACTGCACTCCTATGGGACAGACTCTTCACATGTCTCATGGACTCAGTGATAAATCTCAGATACACAACCTGGATTGCTCCCTCACAGCAAAAAGGAACAGGATTTTTTTTTTTTTTTCATTTAAAGATGACTAGCATAGAGTATCAATCAGTTATGGAAATATGGGCAAGCAGGGGGGAGAGCAGTTATACATTAAAGTGGTACATTCCTTAGCCAGCACTTTGTATTAAATGGGTTGTTCTGGCACTTTGAAAAGAGCAGCTGCAGATGTGCTGTGCCCCATCCCATACCTGCTGGCATGTTTTCAGCTGCTGGTGAGGCTGAGGATTGCACCAATAGAATATGGTTTTCTGATAAGGTAGAAATATCTTTTAATGTTCGAGCAAGTAGCTTTGATGATTGTGGAGACAAGTTTTAATCTCACGTGCTTCTTTTCAAACTTTCAAAGTGTTCTACAATGGATTTTGCCACCAGGGATTTCTTGAAGACTTAGAAATAGAAGTGACAAATACTAAGACTCAAGTCATCTGGTGCATGTCAAAACAAACTGTGCAAGACACTGATGGGCTGTGATTGTGTAATTCAAACCTTCTTGACTGGGTACCAGCTGTAGAGCTGAGCACAGCCTACACTCGCTGTATGCCTGCAGCACTCAACAGCATTTGATTCTGCAAGCTTCAAAATGCCCGCTGGAACCCTAGGATTTTAGGCTGGAGCCCCACACAAGGCGGAGATGCAGGCTGGCAACCTGTTTAACCTGCCTTGCAGCCATGCAAAATAGCATGGCTCTTCTCTAGCAGCATGTTAGGATACGTAAAACAGTAAAATGGTGCTGCTGGAGGGAGGGCCAAAACTGCAATGGGAAGAGCATCCCCGTAGACCATCGCACAGCTGTGGAAAGAGGTTGGTGAGGAGCAGGCAATGCTTAATGCCATGAGCAGAAAGTCTACAGAGAGGCATCTGCACCCCTACCAAAGTGAGATGGCTCGTGGACACTCCCACTCTCACTCTTCAGCCTGCGGAGCGCTCAGACTACCTGGAATGGGTGATGCTGGGGCTCCAGCTTTCCTCCCAGCTCTAGCTGGGGACTCTTGGCAAACCTATCAATCCAGGGATGGGCAGAGAGCTTGGTAGAGAACAGACGTTTCCTAAAGGAGCTTTGAGAGCAGCTCAGCTCACACAGACCTACCTCTGGGGCGCACAAAGCTCTTTGGTCAGCTTAGTGCCTGCAGAGGGAGCGAAACACACCCGACAGGCGCAAACATTTCCTTACCGCACCGCACGGTGTTCTGCTCGCACGCCCAGCGGTAGCGCTGCACCTTGGGGCTGCAGCCTGCCTTCTCTGCCTTGTCGTAGCAGCAGTCGTGCGTGTGGCAGCACCTGGGAGAGAATGACAAGTAGAGTCTGCGTGTCCTCCTGCATCCTGCATGTTTGCATGTACTCCAGGGCGGCTCAGCCCGCACACAGCTCGAGACAGCGATGTTTGCCCCCGGCTGTCAGTAAATCATCTGCTGATGAGCCAAGTATCCTGACAACTCTGAGAAGGTTCACATCTCTCAGGAGCTCATTAATGCCATATTTGCTCCCACCATCATAGCGTTTCTTTCTCCTCAAAAAGACACGTATGGTCAAGACATGGTAATCTCACTGAAAGGGAGCTGAAGTGTTCCTATAAGGTGAGTGATTGTGGCTCACTAGCTTAGGCCCATCCTAGAATTTGGAGATATGATGTTTTTTGCCTTCCTCAATATCACCAAGAAGTTTCATCTCTTCAGTTCACCTGGACCTGCCCCATGCTCTTTGGCCTATCCGCCTTCTGAGGGCTGGCTACAAGTTCATCAGTCTCAGTGGTGAAAGTTGTATCAGCTAACTTCAGATCCTTCAATGCGCTCTATATGCATATCTGGGGCATAGTTCACATTTTCATGCTGCAGAGATCTAAGATAAGTGAAAAGCATTGCATTTGAAAGTGCAATTGCGTTTCACTGACCATAGAGGGGGATGAGGGTGAGTAGCTCAGCTGATGACATCTGTCCTACAGACTAGTAAGTGAGATAATTCTCACTGTCAATTACTTCAGAATTTATATAAAACTTGACCCCCCCTTGAATTTTATTCTGGTAGTTTAGGGACTCAAAATACACTGAGAAAAGATTCAGCACTTAAAGAGGCTCTCTGCTGAATAACAAAGGTTGTTTCAACAAAGGTCAGAGGCTGAAGGCTGATGGGAATGATCTGTATTTCCAGAAGCCATCTCTGCAAGATCACTCTGACTCTACAGAGAAACCACTCTACTAAGTGGGAAGAATTGAGACAGGCTAGTTTTTGGGGTAAATGATGAGTGGACAGCTTTTAGAGAAGCTCTGGAGTTGTGGATGTGAATCAGTACAAGAGGTTGATGAGCTGAGTCAATAAAAACACTGCAAGAAGGATTTCTTGTTCAAGAAATATGCTTCTCTAGGGACATATTGGGAGCTGCCAGTACCTTACCTGAGAGCTTAGGAGCATCAGGAACTTCGTTACCCTCTGCTGCAGGAGGATTTTGCCCTTTTAGAAATTGGTTTATGGATATGAGGGATGGTGGGCTCTGTGAGGTGATAAAGTCCAGGAGAAAACAAACAAACAAAAAACCAAAAGAAACAAACAAACAAGAACTAAAAACCCACCAATTTTTGAAGTGCAAAGAAAATTCACCACTGATGCAAATTCTAATAAAATCCCTGGAACCAGATCAGGTGAATCATGTGAAAGAGACATCAGATCAAATTCAGCCTTCATGTAACCCCTGTGATTTTGTGGAGGCTGTATTTAGTCCAGTCTGCTTTCCCTACTGACTGAGGTCCCAATTTAGTGGTTAAAAGTAGCAATTTCATCCCACAGATGAGTCTGCAAACTAAATGCCTTTTTTTCTCAACCTACGAAGATGAAACCTGTGTGAAGTTTACAACCAGACTGCTCACTGCATTGTGAAATTTAGAAATGCAAATTAGCAGTAGCAGATGAGTATCTTCTTCCATGCCAGCTCCTCAAAGGTCTTTGGAAAGGGACTAAGCCCTGTGAGACATACATATCTTGAAGTTTTCCCATGAGGAGTTGCAGCAATTGCTATAATTGAGAAGACCTTACCTAGCCTGTGGAATCAGTTCTGTTGGACAGGATGGAGAGTAGCAGGCTGTGGGTCAGACCTTTGTTGGTCTGGTAACACTTGCCTCCTAGGCTTGTCCTGAAGAGGTTAGACATGAAAGGGCTAACGGAGGGAAGAATTTGCAGCCTTGTGGAAAGTGTGAAAGTCTCGGCTTTCTCCAACATTTGAGTCCGTCTACAAGGTGTCATAAAATACGACAGGGATGGACTAAGGCACTGAGCTACAACTGGGGTATGTGTCATCTGCAGGATTTGCTGTGGCCCAAGGAATCCTGGCTAAGACCTGAAGCTTCAGCAAAGCTTAATCCATCCTCAGGGGGATGACAGAGAGCAGAGCAGGCCCATCATCGCTGTCTCATTCATACATGGGACACAGCTCACAGGAGACCATGGTGGGGAGCCACAATCAGGCCGGGCTGAGGCAGAGTGCCAGCTGCAGAAATCACAGGGTTTGAGAGGTCTGGGGAGTGAATCGAAAGGCAAATTGGGAAAGCTGGTGTCAGGGATGGAGGTATGTGAAGAGGAAGAACAATGTGAAGGTAGATGGGCAAAGGAAAAGAAACTGCTCTTCATGGATAGCCAGAGGGAACAAACAGAAAAAGAGGTGGGACAATTGGGAACAGATATTGTTGGAGGTAAAAAATGGTCTGTGAATCAGGCAAGGACAAGCACTAGAAAGGTGAGCTAGCTAGCTGTGAGAACTCACTGCTCCTTATCTGGCTTGGCAAAATCAGGGAGAATAGCACGAATTCTGCAGAACCACAGGATTTGGGACATAGTTCTGCTTCCACCTACAGCAGTTCCTCCTGATGATACCCATAGCTGCAGCAGGGTGACATGTAGCTTACACCAACTTAAAGCAAGAAGACTTTGGTTCATATTTTACAAACATCTGTTTCAGATGCAGTGAGATGCCAGGGAGCAAAGACTGAGGAAGCCTTTTGTTGTCTTTTGCCACCTTCAGATAGTCCCCTCCTGTCTGGAAATGCCCTTTGCTGCACGTGGGTCAGAGTGGCGTTAAGCTTTTAATAACCTGCTAACACCAACACAAAGAGAGTCAGCCAACACCATGGCAGAGCGCTGGTCAACAGGTATGGAAAACAAATACAACCGTGTCACCTAGATAGTAAACAACCTGTTCATCACCTCTGGGCTATGAGACAGCCCTAATGGCTACAGACAGCTCCGGCTGGTCCCCAGGGATCAGCTGGCCAGACCCCTGCTGTGGAGCAAATGCCAATAAGGTAAGAATTTGTCACATTGTATTTGTCATGCTAACAGCCCCCATCATTGCTATGTGGCTTTTTCTTTTGCTTTAACTTTCCGACAGGGGGGAAATCTTACTTCTTCCTATGAGTTTGCCAGAAATTAAATGTTGAACTCAATCGTCTTAGAAATCTTTTCCAACCTTAAGGATCCTATGACTTAGATGAGTCATACATGCCACCCTGCCTTTCATGGCATTGGTGTTTTCAGGGACAGGCTGAGCATCGTCAGGTCCTGGTTTACAAAATAGGTGCTGCAGCAACCCAGGGAACCAGAAGGGAGGAAAAAAAAATAAATCTATTGACTATGTGGAAGAGATGCCATTATGTCTTGAAGTGTGTAAGAGTGGAACAAAAGAGAAAAGGTAATTACGGACAACACCACATCAAAGTCAGTGTGTGGAATAAACCTTATAAAAGGATTACCCACTTAGTGGCTTTTTTTCTTTTCAAATAAAAGAGAGGTGCTTAGAAGCATTCTAGCCCTGTCTAGACAGATTGACTGAGTAGCTCACAAGAAAATGACTCCTTTTGTAAGGGTCTCAGTAATAAACCTAGAATGTCAAGAGGGTGAGTCATTTCAGACAGCGTTTGTCACTCATGGCCAGTAGTTTTGCCGCTCTGCTTCCTCCTTTTTTAGAATGGCAAATATGGAAAGTAACGCGGTCACTTTCACAGGCATGGAGTCCTCAACCACACTGATCTTTGCACTAGTTCTCTGTAACAGATATCAATATTTCTTTAACAAAGAGAAAATATAATATTTTAGGGCTAAATCTAGTGGGGCATTGCTGGTTCTTCCCAGCTAAGAACCTAACTAAAACCTCCCAGTTTTTTTATTGCAGCTGAGCATTGCAACTAAGGAATAATAACGACTGTACTTAAAGGATCAAGCTTCCCTTTTACTAACTATCTGGTATTTTGAGGCATTTCCAGTTGCAAAGTCTCATTTTCTGCCTGTAGGATAAAATCCATATCCAATGGGATTCAAACAACATCAGAAACACTGGCTGCTGAACATGTAGCCATATTTTGCTCTCTGTTTTTCAGGAGTGCTGACTACTTGCATCTCCGGGAATCACATAAACTTGGAGGTCACTCAGCCTCTATGGAAAACAGCTTTTAGGTCCCTCTGCTCAGCCCTTCAATAAAAGCAGTACTCCAAATTAGTGAAGTCATGTTTTACTTTAAAGGCTTTATTATGAGAATTGGTAAAGGGTAATAGAAACAATTAAGCACCTCACATCCACTGCTGTAGATGGTGATGAGCAGATCGAGAGATATTACTAAAAATTAAAATAAACCTATACACCTGAAAGCTATGGCCCTTTGTAGGTAGTTACTCATCATTTGTGAGCCCCATACTGACTGTTCATAGATGAAATATTTCACAGGAAAAAAAAAAAAAAAGACATGATGAGGTGGTTTGGGGAGTGAAACATATTGCTGCATTAATGAAGGCAGCTCTATTAGTTTTAAGGGACAACTTCTTTTTCATGCTCACAGAGGAGCTGGTCTTTAACCTAGACATCTTTTCTTCCTTTTTTTTTCTCTTCCTTTTCCTGACCTGACAATTCAGCAGAATTCTGTAGCAGTGTGAAATGTCCTCAGCACCAATATATTCTGGCAAGCTCGGTTCCCTTCAAAGTGAGCTGCAAACTGCTCTCATCGCTGCTAAAAGCAGGGCTTGCTTATAAGTAACGCCTGGAGTGTTGACTAGGTAAAGATAGACTTGTGTGCTCTGTCTTTGGTATTTCAAACTGGACAAGATTGCAAATAACAGGTTCAGAGCACACAGGAGTCCACTACGCTCAAGCTTTACATGTATGCTAATCACAAAGTACACGAAAGAAACCTTTGATTGCAACATTTCCTAGACACATTGTTTGTAGCCTTGGGAATAACAAGCACATCATCTCCCCCCCCCCCAACGAAGAACGGGAAATAACACCGTGCTCTCCCTTGCTATTCTTCCCTGATTCAGTGTGAACTAACAGGCGATGAAGGCAACAGGTTTGATTGATTCTTCCTTGCAACAATTTGGATTTCTTCAAGAGGATAAACAGTGATATTCCCATTGCTGACATTTTAAAGATCTGGGTAAAATAACCCTCCAGGTACCTTGGATCACTCTCTTTTTTTCAGGCAGAGTTTGCTCTCCATGAATACACATTCAGCTTTTTCAGGAAATTATATCCTGGTTTCCCCTTTACCTTCTACCCCACATAGTACAAGGTCCCAAGAGCTTTGGTCTCATCCAGAAGGAGGTTAAACTCTCATTCAAATCCCAAGTGATATGTGGGTCCTTACCCACAAATCCCCAGTACTGTTCATATATACTAAGTTCCCTCTCCACAAGGCAGGAAATGAGTCCATGGAGTCACAGTAGTACAAACAGGGAAGGATGGGGAGATCTTCACTGCTTCTGGACACAGAGATGGGTGTTTTTCTTACCAGTCTGTTTTATCTCTAGGCCAGCCTCGTCCTCCCAGTCCACAGTAGCATCCATAGCCAATGTATGCCAAAGGAGACCGTCCCGTGCCACACGATATAGCTCCAGCCAATTCAATGATTCCTCGAGTGTGCAGTGAATGCGATTTTCCCAGAGCATCTTTCCAAACTGCAAAGACAGGACATGGCTACACACGGGAATTAAACCCACCTGCCACTGATTTTCCTACAGTCCTTAAAGGGAAATGGTTCTGGTTTTAGTTAGTTGGGTGCAGCCCTGACAATCTAACTAGCCATGACATTCAGCTGGTAAGGGGGACTCTGCAGGAAGCTTTGCCTGAGGCCTGGGATAACCAAGAGGTGATGCAGAAATACCCAAGCAGGCTAATTCTTCCAAGGGAACTCAGTTCAAACAAGACTTACTATTTCTGGTGCACTAGGCTGTGATTGCAGCTCTACTGCACCCAGGAGCAGCGTGCCTGGTTTTGCACATCACAAAGCCCAAGCTGCTAAGCTTTGCAGGGCCTGTGCCAGCGCCATGCAGAGCCAGCTGGGCTTCACTGCACTCCAGAGCTCCCAAATCTGGGAAAGTTTTCAGCTGTGATGTGGTCCCAAGTGGGACATGAAGCAGCAGAGTACAACCACGCAACCAGACCTAGCCTGGGCTCTCTGGAAAAAAAATGAGGTTTCTATGTTGCCCAAGATTTCTTTCATTACCTGAGTTTCCCCTGCTATCCAGGATGTTTTAACCCATCCTCTAGGTGGCAAAAAGCTGACAGTACTATTAGTTTGCATAAAGGGTAGCTAAAAGCCCCTGAGCCTGTATAGTACATACTTTGTCATGATCATGTACCATAGATACATGAGTATCTATAGAGTGCCTACATTAGCCAAGAGCTATGTATGTATCACCTTTCTTTTGAGACTTTGGAAGTGCAACATTTGCATCAACTTCTGTTATTCAGGCTGGCCACATTAATTTTGGGGGCAAAAAAAAAGGATCTCTATGTCAGCTGAAGTGTCTGAATTACCACCCAAACCAGTCTGGGGATTTCTGAGTTACAACTTTTCAGGGTTGTGATTTCACATGTTAATTTGCAACTTCTTTGGAAACCACAGACTGTTATGGAAACCAAGAATACCCTGCCCCTAATACTCAAACCCGCTGTGGTGCTCAGCTGCAAATGCTGATGCTTATCATGCTAACAACAGTGACAAATAGCAGTATTTTATGCCTGGGTTTCCTGTGAAGGACCAAGTGCACTTTGCACCACTCTATCCTGAATCGCAAAGCTACTCACCAGTAGCATCAAACCCCTCAGACCATCAGCCTAACCCATCTGCCCATCCCACTCATGCACAGCCACTCCAGAAAGAAACAGGGGGACTTTGTGGCATGCTTTGATGGAGAGGAAAGTGATGCCTGGGAGCTGGGAACTTGCCACTGAAGTTGCTTTGCCACCTGCCCCTGGCTATTGCAGCACGCTTGACCTCTTCAAAGTGTTGTGCAAACACGGACTAATTAATCCCCTAAACCACCCAAGGACTCAATACTATTATTAAAACAGTTGCTTTCCTTTTAAAACCTAGCCTCTAATCCCCTTGCTTGGGCCTCTCCCCACATCTCCTGGGCTAGCTCGCCCTCCGAGCCCAATCCAAGTGCCAGCGAGAACAACGAGGGTCTCTCCTCATGAAGGACAAGGCAGGGCTTTGTTCCCTCTCCGCAGCCCGAGCCCCCAGCAGGAACTGGTCGTCCACTGCAAGAACCATCCTCCACTATTTTCATCCCTGTCCTCCACCATTTTCACCCCGGTGATCGCACCTCCGGCAAGGGGTTTCAGCACAGCCTCCCTCTGCTTCCTGGGGCATTCCTTGGGGATTAAATGCACATTCCTGAAAAAGTAACTGCTCTGCTCACCTAAACAGTACTTGAGTGTTCAGGTTTCTGCTAAAAACACATTATATGGGTGTTCTTCAAAACTAAAGAGACCATTTATTTTCCTTGTCTAAACAGCGGGGCTCTGGAGTTAGAAGGGGGCTCAAGCTCTCAAGGACCTCAGGGGAAATCATAAGCAATGAGCTGCTCTGGATTCAGGGAAATAAATCGTGCTTTTTTAACCTGTTGCAGTGTGCAGATCCTGAAAATGTTCCAGTGGAGACAAAAACTTCTTTGTAGGCATTCTGGCCTCCTGATGAACAGTTTGAATTTTTCACAGCTATCTTTCACTGGCCTTTTAAGCCAGGACTGCTGGACTTGATCTGTTGGCCACTGGCTGAAAATAGTGTAAGGTAACTGTACCTCACCCAGAAGAAGAAAGGCCATTCTTCTTTTGGGGATATCTCTGAGGATCAAGGAACTGTAATTACAGTGCAGACCTGCTCATGAAAGTGGAGTGAAAGCCCCAAAGGAAACTGAGTCCAAAAGACTCAATTAATGTGCTTAGGGCTGCATGCTCTGCAAGAGACATCCAGGCAGCCTCTGATGTTCCTGTTCTTTGAAAGCTGTCTGGGTTTTGAGCCAGCAGCGGGTTGCTGCAGCTGAGAGGTCAGCCCCAGAAAGCACATTTTAATATTCAGGTGCACAGCTAATAACTTGACCAAGAACTGAAATTGCTTTTTCTATGCTGGGCAGCCAAGCCAACACAGCTAGGAAAGCCTTGAAAAAGTCTGAGTCTCCACAGTAGCCTGCATCTAGCCACATCTCCCACTAGGAGCATGTCCAGTCATTAGTTATACTACTAATTGAGCACCTTAGCTAAGAACATACCTGCAGAGAGGTGACCAGAGGTGGATCTGACAAATTACACTTTCTGTGTCCTGCTTACACTGGCAGCCTTTAGATTAAAGTAGAGTTTTCTTTTTATTTTGAAACTCTACTACAGGTGTAACCTCAGACATGCAGGTTTACTGTTGCCTCTGTGTGTGGGGGCTTTATGTAATTTATGGCTTTTATAAGCAAGCTTTTTAAAAAGTATTTTAAGTTCAGGTGAATTGAAAACTGCTTACTCCATGGTCACTGGTAAAAAAAGAAGATATTTTTATGAAAAACGGACACTAAAAACTCTGTAGCAGAAAACTATTAAAAAAGAAAATGACCTGTGTTTATACAGCCCCAGCTATGCAAACCATAGCCAGGGCTGGAAAATGAGGTGGGTGGGCAGGTCACTTGCACAGCCCCTCACTGTAAAGTTGAAAATTGTCTAGTTGAAAATTGTCTAGTGATGCTTCTTTTTTTTTTTTTTTTTTCCTCTCTCGGCCAAATCACACCGAGGTGCCTGCTGTGAAAAAGGCAAAGATGATGGCAAGGGGAGAGGCTGTCCCCAGACAGGGGGGAGGCATGGCAAGGCGGAGGGACCGAGAGGTGGTACTCACCTGCCTGAAGCAGCATCAGTATGAGCAGCCGGCGGGAGCCCATGGGCAGATCAGTTCCACGCTCGTGTTCTACTTCGGGGTTCAGCCGCCGGCACTCCCGGCAGCGCCTCGCCGTGCTGCCAAGTGAGCCGAGGTGTGGTTGTGCTAAACAATCCTCCCGGGCTGCTGCTCCAGGGTTTATATATACGTGGCTCTGCGCCCGTCTGAAGTGAAACACCCTCTTCTGCGATGTCCCTGAGCCCCAGCCCGGGTCCAGTCCGTCCCCTTGCTGCGTGGGGAGAGGGCGAGGGCTGGCTCTGTTTGCCCAGCATCACCTTTGGGAGGGAGGGGCTGCTGGAAGGGCATTAGGGTGGTAGTCTCGGGGACAGCCCAAGACACCAGGCACTAAGCCGGGCTCCTTCTTTAAGCTGTTTGCTTACAGACCCTGGTTAACCTCTGAGTAGCTGCGGAAAAGGGAAGCCTTCAACCGGGCTTTCTGTGGCTTGGGCTCGCTGCTGTGGCATCCCCCTGGCAAGGATTTTCTCTTTTTATAGATCACTTTCCAGGGTATTTTTTTTAAAAATTATTTTATTTTAAGACTGATTATTTTTCATGTTTAAAAAAGAAGAGACAAAACTATAAAAATCCAACAGAAAGAATACTGTTAAGTGCAAGTACCCAATTATAAACTGACCAACAGAGCTAATTCTGCACCATTCTGAGGGAAAAATACCCCCTTGGCCTATTGCTGCACCTGACCAACACCAATTGATTTCATAAAGTCCCATCAGTATGTGAGTGCCAGCCAGGTAGCAGACCAGCAGCTGGGGCCAGTCCCACAGGGCCAGCTAAGCTCTGGTCACAGCAGACAGCTGGACTGGAAAGTGTCTTTCCCATCACACAGCCTCCATTTGTGCTGGGCCTCAGGCACTGTGGGTAGGAGGGATGTGTAGAGCTATTTTGCATTTGGGCTTGAAACAGCTTTAAAACTCCCACCTTTCTTGGTGCAGCAGCCACCTGCCTTGTTGGGGTCTAAACATCTGCTGCCCTGGTGTGGGCATGATGGGCAGGGTGGGCTGCTCTGCTGGGAGAGGAAGAGGAGGGGAGGGGGGCTGTTTGCCCCTTCCCCTGCACTGCCCAGGAGTGTCTCAGCAGCACCCCTTGTCCGAGTTACCCATGGCAAAGCTGTGCTTCCTTTCTTAACGGCATGGGTTTAATTTAAACATTTGCTTTCTAAATATTGGTACTCAAATCAAAGGTCATCAGCAAGTCGTTTATGGGGCTTCCTTCTGCTGAGACCTGCCCCAGTGCAGCTGCTGGCACTCTTTGCCAAGCAAGTTTTCAGGATACAGTTTATACTGGGTGCCTTTGATACAAGACAAATGAAACAGAAGAACTGAGTAAATGTCATGAAAATTATGAGCCTGAAACTTCCTGCCTGCCACCACCCCAGTGATGGGCCATGTGCTGGCAGCAGGGGAGGGGGAAGGACAGCTCAAGCACACCAGTTGTTCCCTGCACTACCTCAGAGGGGCTTGGGAGGAGCTGCACAGCTTACTCTTCTGCCCTTGGAAGCTCCCTTCAGTAATTATTCATTTACTCAAGTAATAATGCCAAATCATACAGAATGGTTTGGGTTAGAAGGGATCTTAAAGATCCTCAGTTCCAACCCCCCCTGCTATGAGCAGGGAGACATTTCACTAGATCAGGTTGCTCCAAGCCCTATCCAATCTGGTCTTCAGCACTTCCAGGGACGGGACATCCACAATTGCTCTGGGTAACCTGTTCCAGTGCCTCACCACCCTCACAGTAAAGAATTTCTTCCTCATATCTAATCTAAACCTTCCCTCTTTCAGTTTAAAGCCATTCCCCCCTCGTCCTGTCTCTACACCCTTGTAAAATGTCCCTCTCCATTGTAAAATGCCTCTTTTGTCAGCCCCCTTTAGGTATTGAAAGGTGATATAATGTCTCCCCATAGCACTCTCTCCTCCAGACTGAACAGCCCCAAGTATCTCATCCTGTCTTCATAGAAGAGCTGCTCCAGACCTCTGATCATCTTCACTGTCCTCCCCTGGACTTGCTCCAACATTCTACATCCTTCTTATGTTGGGCCCCCATGTGGGGTCTCACAAAAACAGAGTAGAGGAGCAGAATCACCTCCCTTGACCTGCTGGTCACGCTGCTTTTGATGCAGCCCAGGACATGTTTGGCTTTCTGGGTTGCAAGTGCGCACTGATGGGTCATGTCAGCTTCTTGTCCATTAACACTCCCAAGTCCTTCTCCTCAGGGCTTCCCTCCATCCATTCTCTACCCAGCCTGTATTTCTGTTTGGGGTTGCTGTGTATGTTAGGTGTTGTTGGCAAATGTTTAACCACAAGAACATAAGTTTGAGGAAGGAGGATGCTGGAGGGCAGCTGTGGTGTGATCACTGGCTCTGTGTATACCAATCCTATGGGAGAACACAGGCTTTGAAACACCGTGGGGGGCCTGGCTGAACAACATGCCCTCTTAGAGCAAGCTCCACCCCTGACAGGTGCCTGGCAGGCCCTATTCTTTAGCAGGGACCAAGAGAGAGTTGTAAGGAACCTCTACAGATGTTTTACAGGATTCCTTGGGTCCTCAAGCCTGGGAACTGCCACCAAGGGCTGAAAATATCTGCTCTATGACTTGGATTTATCAGTCATTTGGATTTGAAATTTAAACGTTCTGTCAAAGCCTTGATGAATTATAAACCTGATCAAAAAAACACATTATAAAGTTTCAGACCACAAGTTAATTCTATTCTTCCCATTCTCACAGCCTCTCAAATAACAGATGAGGTTTTTTGCCCCCCATTTAGCAACAAATAGGAAATAAAGAGACTCCTTTCATAGCCAAATGCATTTGCAGTGTCTGAAGATTTCTTGCAGGGTATTAGGGAAGGATGTTCAAATTCAGCCTTGAAGTGGGAAGCAGAATTAATGTATTACTGCTTCCTCGTGATTGTTTCACACCACTGACTGGCCAAGTTTGTTATTTATCCATGCAAGTACTTACTGTTGCCTAAGTTAATGGGTATATTTATTAAACAGTATTAAGTGCTAATCATGTTCTTACTATGTTATGTCAAATGCACTGGGATCATGAGGGCATTTTTATTACTGTTTAGGGAAACAAAATGAATTCTCTGATCCCATCCCTTCATATGCATTTTGCATGTTACCTCCTTGAGCTCCATTTCTCACTACTTACAACAGTTAGCACATGAGGCTGTTGGATACCATCTCATCAAACTCAGCTATGCAGATTATTATCTGTCCAAAACTGCAGGTGCAATAAACTTACTTTGAGCCTCAGGTCACTTGTGTGGGGCAATCAGTCTGTACTGTTGGAGGCCTATTTCTTCAGCTCTGTTGAAAACAGAGTTCCCTTGGTGTGTAGCACCAAACCAGCTGACCCTCAGGGGTGGTACTACTTCATGCTCTTGAACTTGTTGTTGAAAGACAATATTAGGGAAAAGTCTTCTGTTGAAAGGGAGAAGAAATTTCTAAGGACTCCACAGTTTTTAACAAAGTTTACCTGACATAGTTCAAGATGTCAGATCTTCTTGTAGAAGCTGGGCTGTTTTTCCTCAAATGAAATACTCAGAAAGCTATGTGGATGTCGTCACTAACAATAAGAAGAGGTCTCTGCTCAGTACCAGCAGAAGGAATGATGCTTTTGCTGCTCAGACAAGGGTTTTTCCTATAAGGGGCAGGAGAGGCTTTCTTGCAGTACTGGATCTGCCCTTCCAAAGACTGGTCTGTGGGACTAAAGAAACTGAAGGATACAGAACAACTGTTTTGGTAGTCAGATTTATAAGAGAAAATCAATTCTAAAGGGAAAAACCTCCATATTACCTGTCAGGAGGAAGAAAAATAACTCTAAGACTGCCACATGATTTGTGGTGACATAACCAGTCACAGAGTTAACATAACAATATAAAAAGTAAACACTCTTGTTTAATATTGACTTGCATGGAAGGTCTGCACATACTTTACTGCTGATACAGCCCAGTCAGACGCCCCCTGTAGTGAAAAATAGGCATATACCATCAGCTGAGCACCCTGAGACAGCTGGCTTTTATTTTACAGCCCTGGTGACATTTCCCACTTAAAAGAGAGGATATATGACTGTATCACCAGGGTTAAAGAACACTTAAAATGGGAACAAGCTGAATAAAGGTGTCTTATTTAAATACTGACACCCTCTCAAGCTGCTTAGTCTGTGAGATTCACCAGGAGTTTTGGTTACTTTATCCAATAAGAGACCCAGAGAACACACAAATGCACACAGAGATGAACATACACTCTGATATCCCAGACAAGTTCCTGAAATGCCCCTGAGTTCCCTGAAAAGGAACGACCAACATAAATGTCTGTGTCCATTTAACAAGAACCCCTGTTAGAGGCAACCTTGAAAGACCCATGACACAAGTTTCACGACACTCATCAAGACTCTGAAGCCCACTAAAATACTTGTTTTGATGTGTCAGTGTTTTGAAGTCTGTTGTTTACAGTCACAGGCAGTCCTCAACAGAGCAAAATTACATTTTTCTTTTCTGGTTGTAAAGGTAATGTAAACAGAGGTGTGTTTGTAGATCCTCCTGGGAGACAGAGGAAGGGATGGCCTGGGTGGAGAAAACATAATGCAAATCAGGAGCACATAAAATCCTTATTTCACCTTTGCAAGTACATTTAAACCCTGACAACTCTAGACCACAATATATTCCAATGCTGCCTAACTGTGTAATCTGCTATGCATTGTCTGCTTTAGCTTCTCCTTTCCCCATTGTTCAGGCTTTGTTTTTCTTTTTTTTTTTCCCGATTGCTAAAAGTTTTTCTTTCTTCTACACTTGCCATCTCATACCTCTCTCCTTTCGCCTTTTGTCCCAACCTACCACTTTCACCTACAACATCAGAAACAGCTTGAAGACTCACACTGGTACTGTCTCAAGCCTCAGGCACCAACAGACACAGAAAAGTTTGGGGTTATTTTTTATGGAAGGCTTCCATTCATAACAGCAGTTGGTCTTGTTTAGATATG